CAGTTTCGGTCGCTCAGCAGAGCACACAGCTTTGTAACTAAATTTGAAAGAATAATCAGGAGGGGGAAGATGAATGACAATAATGTAGCAAGACTTTGTCCCACAGTGAAACAATTAGCAGCTAATCACTTGTCTTTGATAAGAAAGCCAATTTCTTGTAAGCCTCAGAAAAGCGTTGGAGAGCATCTCACAGAGCACTTCTTAGCACCTCGAGAAAATAGAGGGAAGGTGATGGGACAGGTAAGTGCAAGACTTGTACTCATTGTGGGAAAGTGGAAAGAAGAGAAACAGAAGACACATACAGAAATGGAGATTGCACCTGGAGAGGTAGAAAATCAATGAAGCTAATAGTTAACTCAAGTAATACAGGCTTCTGCTATAAAATGGGAGCTTGTGAGTAGGAGAGATCTGGTCGTTTTAATAGACTGAAAGACCAAGTGACTGATAGCCATGGAAAAGCTGAGTCTGATTCAAGGATGTTCATGTTTGTGATTGAAAGTAGGAAAAGACATCCTGCTAACTGCTCTGGAGAAGAAAACCTTTGTGGAGCTCAGGCTCCAGGGTCTACAATCAGGGTGGGGCTGAGGTAGATTGTGCTGTCTTTTCAAAGCAGTAAGGGCTCAAAAAGTAGAGCAAATATTAATAATATTTTCATGTGTGTTTTCAAAGTTTATTCAATGAAAGATCATTTCAACTGTACTTGATTCTGTCATCTTCTGCCTTAGCATGCTTGATTTTTTCCTTTCTTACATTTCTTTGATACAATTTTTAAAATATTTCCTTAATTATAAAAGACAGGAAGGGAAGATGCCCCTCTCCCCCTGCCCAAAGAACAACTACAAACCTCCCCCAAAAGCTATCAGTGCGTGGAAATGTCAGCTCTGACATGCAGACAGCCACGTTTGAGTGGCTGCTGTCACCACACTGCTGTCACCAAACAGCTTCATGGCCACTGCAGGGACAATGCACAGCAGCCCGCCTCCAGCCACACCATCTTCCCATTCCTCTCTCCCAGCCAGGGTGGGCAGAGCCGTGCTCGCCCTGTGTCCAGCCAAATGCAACATCCCTGGTGCCATGGGAGCACCAGGGTAGCTGCTGGCAGTGCAGGGGGCTGCCAGTTCCTGCACTAACAGCCTGGCTTCAGTTTCTTGGGGATGCGTCATTTGTAGAATGAAATCCTGCCTTCGGCTGCCAGTCTCTTGATGAGGCTGAATTCAACGTCAGCATCATGGACCCTCGTCCTGCGAAAGGCTCCAGACCAGCGGTTTTTCTCCCAGTAGTGGTGCCAGTTCCCTTCGCTGTCTGCTCCGAAGCCAAACACAGAGACCTGCACACACACCAGCAAGAGCCATCGCTGTGCGGGCACTCAGTCAGCCTGAGAGCACACAGACAAGTGGTGGAGTGGCGGTAAGGTGTCCAGTCCTGCTGACCACGCTCACCTGCTGGCAGGCATGCAAGGCAAAGAGCAGGGCTGTGAAGCCGGTGGAAGGGTACCGCCCGTGGCGCTGCGTCCAGTTGTCATGGATGTACTTGAGGAAAGCTGGGCTCAGGATCAGCACCTGAGTGGGGAGTGGAGGAGCCATCAGCTGCTCATGTTGCTGCCAATGGCCAGCCCCCACCTCCAGCACAGCCATCAGCCCTTCTGCTCACTGGGTCTGCCCACCTCCCACTGAAAAACAAGCCTGGGCTGTGCCTAGAGGAGCCCTCCCTGCCCAGGAGGCGTTGGAACACACCGAGACCTTACCTTGTTTCTGTCCGCCTTGATGAACTGTTTGACTCTCACGTATGTGCTGCAAAAGCCAGAGGACAGCAATGAGCTTGGGGCGCTCCTGCTGCTGGGGCCTCTCGTTTGGAGGCACCTGGCCCCATAGCATCCTCACACCCTTGGGCTGCTCCAGCAGCATCCCCTGGCCTGGCTCTGGGAAGAGACATCAAGCCCATGGCCCCACAGTGGGGACAGCCACCTTCACAGCCTACTTGCTTAAACTGTGGTGCAGAGGGATGCCAGGACCCTCGCCCAGGGGCCCTTCGTCCCACTAGCACCATGGTGCCAGTACCCCAGTGAGGCACCAGGGTCCCCAGGACCACTCCACGCCATTGCAAGGGTCTCCAGCACAAAAGACGCTGTCCCCTGAAGCTGACTCACTGCGTGAGCTCTCCGGTGGAGAAGGCGCTGGCCACCCACTGCAGGTCCAGTGGCTTGAAGGGGATAAGGACGAGATGGACACCAGGCCCAAGGTTCACTGCACTCTCCGGGTACATGAAGTGATGGGTTGTTCTCATGCCAACATCCAGCTCAAAGCCAGCAATCTTTGCTCTGTTCATCCTAGGTGACAGATGGAAGGCATGTCCCAAAATGAAGATGCACATCGTGCCAGTCCCAGGCTGCCATTCCCACTGGGCGAGGACACCAGGTCACTGTGGCCAGCAGCAAAGAGGGGACACGGGCAACACAGGGCAGGTGTGTTCCCTGAGGGGGCGGGGGGGTGTGTGTGTGCTTCCAGCAGGACTACCCCGCCCCCTTCCTCCACCCCCACCGGAGGGGACAAGCCCCTTTGGGTCACCCACCTCAGCACCCAGTCATGGGCATCGATCTGCAGCCCATAGCTGGACCCCTTCAGCCGCCCCGAGTTCCCCACCACCGCACAAGTCCTGCAGCGAGACAGGTCCCACAGGCTGCCAGTCGGGGCCGGGAGGACAGTGAAGAGCTGCTGAATTATGCCTTGGAGCTGGACATCATTCGGAGGACCCTGTAGGGTCTGGGAGAGCAAGGGCAGCAATAGGCAGGATCAGCCCCACCACCCACCCCCCTGCCACCAGTACCCCCAAAGGGGGAACAGAGCCCCACTTGTCCCAGCAGAGCCCCGGGGAAGGTACAGAAAAAACGGATGGGATATTAGGAAAAGGTTGCGGGACAGGCAAAAGGGGGGCAGGGTGGGGGTGGTGAGCTGGGGTCCCTGCACTGCCTTCATGCCCCATGGCATCTGTCGAATTTGACCTTGGCCCTGACCCACTGCAAAGAGATTGGAGGAGCCCAGGATGAGACCCGTGTTCCCCACCCCCCATGCTCCGACTCACCAGCCACCACTGAACCACGTCCGAGGAGAGCTCGTGGGCTGTGCCCATCAGCAGAGGCCCCATGGCCATGTTGTAGCGGGTGTGGAACCATGTGGAGCCATTGGCACTGGCGGGGCAGCGGTCAGCAGGGGTGTCAAGGAGGGATGGAGTCCCAGGGAAGGGGCTGAGGCCATCCATGGGGGCGCGGAAACATTGCCACAGGACCAGCAGCAGGCATAGGGCCAGCACCACCTGCGTGTGTCTCTGGCACAGCATCCCTCATACCACCTGCAGTGAGATGTCACCAGGCCCAATTGCAGTATCACCACAGGACCCCCTCCCTTCCTGCCCAGCCTCCTGGGACACACACCCCTTGGCTGCTCACCGACCCTGCAGGGACCTGAAATAGCCTGTTACGTCTGGTTCCTCTTCAAACCATTCAGTGGCTTTATTGCTGTGCTCTGCTTCTGGCACTGCCACAGTCACTTTGGGCCGGCTGGCAGCACTTGCTGTACGAGGACCTGCTTTCTGCCTGCAATGCTTTTAGGGTCTG